CATAAAAAACATTTTACCAGAAATATTCCACCATCTGATGTCAAATTCCTCCTTAATAGTCTCTGTCTTAACTCTATTTTAATACTCAGTAAAGCTGATATTGAACCCATCAGAAAGACTGCCACTCACAGCTTCATGGATGCAATTATTGTGATGTGTGTCTCCCATCCTTTTTCAGGAGAAATTGTATGTTGTCTAAGATGATTGATTTATTACTGCCTTGGTACTTGATTTGTCATTATTTTCTTTGTCAAACAGACCCACACTCTTGTTCACATAATCACGCAGTCCTGCCTCTCACTGGGCAAAGTAGAGGATGGAGCTCAACAACTTACCATGGAGACTTGTAATGATAGCACATTGCAAAAATGGCTACTAAGAAACTATACAAGAGCAGAAGTTTTTAGAAATGTTTTTGGAAATCTTACTGATTATTTTCTGTAATGACTTGTAGAGGTTTGTGCTTTGGACTTATTCAATTCTTTAGTACTTTTATTGTTATTAAAATGTGAAATTTTAATAGAATATTTATGAAGTTATTTTTTCTATCTTTTACTTCTTTGCTGCTCATTAATTTAAAGATTGGATATTTTAAATAGTAACTAGCCTATCATTAACAAAAACATATTTTGAGTTTCTATTTAAAATGTGTATATATACATATATATGTCTGTGAGTATAATAGGTTAAATAAATTTTGAAGTATTATTTTGTTTTATCTTAGCAACAGCTGTATCCATATGAGAACAAATTTTGTATCAAAGGTGGAAACGTAACCAAATATATGATAGGTTAAAATGGATGATTTTGGAATTTCAAAATTATTTAATTTTGTTAAATTTTATTCAGACGGCTGAACTCCATGTGTATGTATGTGTGTATGTGTGTACCACATTTTACACCTTTTAAAATTACCATTATTTTATTCTGAGACACTAAGTAAATTCATTACTAAAGACTAAGTTATCTTCAACAACTTCATGGAAGAAGCACCCTCATCTGCACATTTCTTTTGTGATTGCTCAGGTTATATAATGATAAGAATCAAAACTTTTCAAAAGGATACATTTTATTTGTTACTTATATAAATTGTGACTATCTTTTCTCTAAATAGTTAAATTAATTGTTATTCAGTTCATATCAACAAATACTCATGGAATGTTTTATAAACACTAAAAATAAGATCATTTTTGAATCATTGGACTTAAGGGAATTTTTTTTTATAAATCCAAAAACTAAATGATGTTGTATAGTTCAACCACTAGTTGTGAGAACACATGGGTGGTTCCCAACTTTTCACTTAACTACCTGTGGCATATTTAAGAACAGAAGCAGGGGACCAGAAGGCAGAGCAGTCAGTCATTGTTTGGATTAGGGTATATTTGAGTGAGAAACAGTCCACCTAAGAGATGGAAAAGTTGCAGTTGCCAAGTGACTTTGCATAAAGAGGATTTATCCAGGGGCAATTTGCGTGCAACATCTGAATTTGTTTTCTATGGCTTCATATTTTCTTTGTACTAATGCACAAGATGCTTGGGGCTTAAACATTTAATCTCATGAATCTATCATTGAGTGCTATGGCAAGAGGATTCTCTCAGCAGGAAAGAATGTGGCAGTTGCCTCAGCATCATTTTTTCCATTTATTTTTTCACTTTATATCCAAATATCATCCCCACACTCTCCTTCAAGTACCCCATCAAACAGCTGTAGACTTTGATTTTTCAAGACCTACTTTAATAAGGGATCTTAAATGCTTCAACCTTCCTCCAACCAACTGCCCATGAAAAGGAGTACAAACGAAAGGTTAATAGGAAGCAAGGATTTTGGACCTGTGTAGAAATAGTTCTTTGGGGCTATTTCAATCTCTATTGTCATCATTCCAGTCGTCTAACAAACCACTAACATGAATTAGTAAAGACAATTCAATCCCTAAGAAACTTTGAGGCTCTGCCAATCTGCCTGCACCTATGGCATCAGCAAGAAGCCACCAGATTATCACCATTTGTTTGGCAAGTTACTCTCTACATAGTCATGACAAGGAAGATCAGCAATGTGATGTAAGTTGAACCAATACAAGGGCATCATCAGCAAAAACTAGTGAGACAGAACAAGGCGAACCAATGCCTGAGCCTCTTCGCTTTGTCTGTGCAGTCATATTTATATTCTTTTTAAACGTCACTTGTTATCTCACATAGCTGCTTCAACAATGTATCTTTTTACTTGTCTGCCCCAGCAAAACATCATATGACATAACTAAGTTTCCAAAGAAACCAGATACTTCTACTTCACATAACCCTTCCTCTACCCCTTTCCCTTCTCTTCTGACAAGGGGAAACCACTCCCCCACATCACCCTGCCCTGGCCCTCATATCACTGCAGGACTAGGGACAACCTTTTCCACTGATACCATACAAGGCAGTAAGAGGAACAGGATCCATAGGCAGGCAAGAGAGTCAGGAACAGCCCCCACTATGAAGATCAAGCTGTGTATCTGTTACATATGTGCTCTATTATGCTTGCAGACAGGAGCCTAGCATACCTGTCCTCTAAGAAGTTCCACCAAGCAGATGACTAAAACAAATGCATACACCTTCAGCCAAATATTAGGTGGATCTCTGGAAGTCTTATGGATGAGTTAGAGGAAGGATTGAGAAACCCAGAGGGGATAGAGATTCTATTAAAAGACCAACAGAGTCAGCTAACCTGAAACCTTGAGAGTTTTCAGACACTGAGTCGCAAACCAAAGAACATACATGGACGTATGCTGGACATAGGCCCCCTGCACATGTGCAGGAGTTGTACAACCTCGGCACTTGTTGCATCTTTGGGTAGCTGGCGTTTAAACAGGTCACATTCTGGCCCAAAGTTTTGATATCACCATCTGATAGATGAGGAATCTACTTGTGCTGAATAGGTATGTTAGCCAAACACAAAGTTGATGGTTTTATTGTTACTTGGTTTCAATGGTGTTGAGTTCATTGACTGATGTTCAAAGGTATGAGCAGAAGGGGAAGGATGTTTATAATCATTCACATAACCCTTCCTCTACCCCTTTCCCTTCTCCTCTGACAAGAGGGAGCACTCACCCATATCACCCTGCCCTGGCACCTCATATCACTGCAGGACTAGGCACAAATTTAAATGTAACAGATTTTTCTAATGAAAATCAGTCTTCACAATGTTTTTCAGTTGCTTTTCCCTGTTCCTACAGCAAGTAAAAGTGAGAAAATGAATTTACATTGAGGACTACTTAAAGCTGAAATGTCTGGTTTTTTAATGTGCTTCATTGGATAGTTTTTTTTTTGGTTTGCTACTGTTGAAGCTGTAACTTTCAACTGCTGCTAATACATTATTTCAAGGGACATATTTGCATACTGATTTGATAGAACAATATTAAATACAAAAGTCTCAACTGACATTACCTGTGTCATTAAAAAAATTATTCAATGTATTTTTAAGAAAATCTCTTAATTCCAATATGATATAAGGTAACTGATCAAATCTTTCAACTACTATAATAGGTGATCTGATTATAATAAATTAATATCAGTACATTATGGTATAAGTCAATGTGTGGTAAGATACCCAATAAATGCAAAGTTTGTTGTTTAGAGAAGGATCTAATAGAAGAATGAAATGGTAAGTGCTTCTTTGCAAGAGTAGATATGTGTATTCTAACTCAGATTTGAGACATGATCTTCTTTGTTGCTGTTGCACCTTCCTACATCTTTGTTAAAAAGTAAAATAGTTTTATTTAGTTTTATATATGATTTTCACACTGGTTAATAGTTGGATTTCCTGTCATCCTAAGAATAAACCAACCATCCTCTTGTTTTCTTGCTATCTTTGGCAATGTCTTTTTTTACTTCACTTTTTTTCCTACCAAAAATGGCTTGAAACTCTGTATTAAAAAATGATAACAACTTTGAAAAAATGATAACAAAGACCCCAATCTTGACATCACCTTCTTTTTTAATCGCCTTGCCTTTTAATTTCCTGCTTGAGGTCAGAGAGGCTCCCTTCACAGCAGCCTGTCCGCTATTATATCTTCTCCTACATTAGTGATGTCACAGGTTTGTGTTTATATTTTTACCATGTACACACCTGAACATACCATAAAGAGTGAGAAAATGCTACAAAAAAGGCATTTCCCACACTTAATTCTGTTAATTTGCAAGAACTATGTGTTTCAGATGAAATTTCCAAGACCTACTTGCAAATAGCCTCAAATATGTACGAACACTGTAAGTTAGAGAACATTTCCTGTGATTTTAGGCATGGTTCATGAAACTAGCAAAATATATAATTAACAGGTTAAAAGCATATTGCCTAAAAACATGCTAGAATGTGGGATCTCAGAAAGTGACTTCAATTTCAAATGGAAACAATAGTGTATGATGATTAAGCTCAATGAAATTATTAGAATTGTGAAGAAAAAAATACTACATCATTTCTCTTTTTAATTTAATATTGATACATTTATAGATACTTAACTATGATAAACATCCCACGAAGGAAGACGGGGCTTTAGAAATCACTGGTCTACAGTTAGTCTGAGATATTGTGGTTTAGTTGTCTTAATGGGAGCATCTCTAGTCATTTTGCTCTTTTGTGGAATAGTTGTGTGTTTGACTTCTTTGTTCATCAAAATGTTACTGACTAACATATGGGTATAAACTTGAGTTTCTTTATAAGTTTGTTAGTATTGACAAATTCAACTGGATTCCATGGTCAAGAATATGCTTTTGAAAAAGACATCTGAATTTTCAGCAACCTGTAATAAATATCAGTCAATTTCTTTAACCACCTTTAAATAGAGGTGTATTAACCAATGACAATCTTTTTATGGCAAAATTTTATGTGTAATTTAAAGAAATTTTTATACAGTTCTGTTTAAAAACATGTGATATTTCAATACATTAAAATTATATAGACTATTTTTAAAGAGTAGCCTTCATGTAATGAACCAGTAAGTTACTGATTGTGGTTATCTTTTACAGAGACTCACTTTGAGACATGCTAACAGTAACCAATGTCTTGATGAACCTTCTGAGGAAGACAAAATGGTGCCTACCATGCAGGACTGCAGTGGCAGCAGATCCCAACAATGGCTACTGAGGAACATGACCTTGGGGACATGAAGATCATTTCTCCCAAGACGTGAAAGTCTCCACATGTTTGTTTGTTCATTATTTCAGTTTGGTGAAAATATTAACTTTGCTGAAATAAAAGCTTTAAAAATAATTTTAGTAATATAAAACACAATTGTTTATAATTCATTTTTAGGAATGTTTATTTCCCTACTAAAAAATTTGTATCTGATTAAAGAAGCACATAAAATATAAATAATAAGAAACTGTTATTAAACATTTGAACTGTTTGGGAGAAAATACACCTTGTATTTACTTTTAAAATGTCTTTGTTAGTCTCTTGTCACAGGGTCACTTGGGATTGGTTTATTTTGTGTTGTAATAACAATTAAACGAGAGATCATGTAATGCCTTATACAATATCATAATTATAAAATATTAACATAGCTTTATAAAACACTCTTTTTACAAAAGCTTCATGGGACCCTGGTTGAATTTCTATGCCAACAATTAGAATCCATATGAAATCATTCCTGAGATCATTGAATTCATCAAACAAAATATAAGGTACTAGGAAAGAAATTAAGCTAGTTATTGAATTTGTAAAATACAATTATCACCATACAAAATAAAGTAAAGGATTTTAAAAAATACTTTAAATAGTAAATTTAAATCAAATGATGTAAGGAGTACATCAGGTATTGAGGATGAAGAGTGCTATGTAAACTACACGAGTTGCTGTGAAAGAATCTTCAGTACGAACACATGCTGAAGACTGTCTTGCCCTGAGATGTGATGTCAGGACCTGAATTCCCAGATTTTTCTCTGTATTCATACAGAGAGTAAGTGTTCATCAGGTGTGTCTTTGCCCTTCACTCTAGAGGGTGAGATTTGTCACAGTCTACAGAACTGTAGGTGAAGGGCGACCTTTTAGATTTAATGATTAAATTACTATCTCTTTTAGTTCAGTCAGTGTTGTCATTGGCACTTTGTATTTTATAAAAAGTATGACACTCTCAAAATTTATTGCTATGATATAAAATCCAACATTGGTCACTGGAAAATTCAAGTTATTAAAATGCTATTAATTAAACTACTAGACATGATTTTGCATAAGCTACAGTGCAGTCATGATTAGGACAATTTCATGTATCATTTCCACTTAAAACCTCTTTGCTCACAGTGCATGGACTAAATACATGAAAAAGAAAAAAAACTACCAATTGATGGGATAGTAATAACTGTTTTATATTTGCTACCATTTTAGGTGGCCACATAGTTGCTGTGCATGTATGTTTTGGTAATAGATCTAGAAGCTGGAAGATCTCTACTGGGGTGAAGATAGAAGATTCTTCAGGAACAGAAAGTCCATTCTTTTGACCTTTTATTTTAAAGCCTCTTTATTAAAAGTGTTCATTGGCTTGCCACACTTGCTTTCTCTCTCTACTCCCTCTATCTCTGTCTTTCACTGATTCTCTCCTCTGTCTATTGTTGTCGCTGTCTTTCAGTTTCTGTTGCTGTCTCTCTTTTACACACACACACACACACACACACACACACACACACACAACTGAGCTGGACTAGTATATTTTTCATACTGCTTCAGTCTACCCATCCCAGTGTTCTTTCTCATTAGAACAAGTGCATTTTTCACCTTCTGGATGCTCAAGTCAAAACTATGAAACTGGGAACTGAGGGGTTGCTCACTCAGTTGGTGCTTGCCCCTCAACCAAGAGGACTTGATCCTGTTTCCAAGCAAAATAACCACTAGATGTGGGAGGAAGTGCTTTAACTATAATACTGGGGAGTCAAAAAAAAAAGAGAGAGAATTTCTTGAGTTTCCTCGCCAGCCAGGTTGTCTTAATGGATAAGCTCCCACCAAAATTAAAGACTTTGTCTCTAAAATCAAGTGATAATATCTTTCAAACTTTTCAAGCTCACAGGCTTCATGAAACTGCCTGCTGTCAAAGTTAACTAGAATCTTGGCCCAACACAAAATTTTAACTTGTTTTAAATGTTCATTTTAGGTATTCACACTATTTTGATACCAAGTGTTGATTTTTGTAGATGACAACATTGTTGCAGTGTAAAACTTTGGACAAATTGAGTCTAACCATCTTAAAAGTAACTTGATGCTATCTCTGACATATAACAGCAAACCAATAACTTGCTACTATAACCACTGTGTGTTGCAACTTCAGACCTTTCAAATCGTAGGAAATATGGATATAAACATAATTCTCTGTTTATGCCAAGTCTTACCCAATGTTTTACTGGGTTTCTTAATATAAGAGCCATTTAGAGACTATCATGTATGAATTTGTGTATTTTCCTGAACATAATCTTCCCACTAATCCTCATATCATTTCATACCCATCATGTTTCTATACACAGACCAACATACTCCACAAACATATATACACATACCTTGTACAGACACCTCTGTGTTTCTTATCTTTTATTGTCTTGCATTTCATTACATTGTTTTGGCTGCCAAGCAAGTTTCTGCTTTAGTGTTGGTTCCATCAGTCCCATAGATGTCATTCACTTAATTACTTTAGGTCCCTATTCAAACATCACCTCTTCAGTACAACAAACTCTTGTCCTGTCTGTAATCTCTCATCCCCATCTCTCTAACACACACTTGGGCATACAATAACATTTATTTATGTTTTTTTTTTCAGTGCCAGGGTCACATCTTTGTTAAGTACGTATACTACCACTGATCTACATACACATTCACCTATATCCTTTTAAAGGCAGGGTCTATATTATTTTTGTCCACTGGCTATGTTCAGCTTTTTATGTTATCTCTTGACTTATTCTAACTTATTCTTGACTTATTCTACACTTCTCAAACTAAGAAACTTAAGAGTTTGTTAAATTTGTTAAGCAGCACAGTAGCATATGTTTCCATGTTTAAAAACCTAAAGTATCTAGTAGCGTCTTTATAGAGACTTTCTGAGCTTTGTTTTCAAATGTTAATTTTCCTTCTACTATTCTTGATATTAAAGTTTGGGCTCTATGTTGTCCTTTGTGTCAAACTCAACAGCTTTGTGGAAATGAAATACAGCATCTTATTAAAATGATGTTATAAGATATAAGTCACTTTACTTAACTAAAAATAATTATAGTTTCAATGTTTTGGTTGTATTAGATTGACCACAGAAGGGCTAAGATTATGAGTTTTAGAAAAAAGATAAATACATTCTTTTAAAATCATATTTATTTTCATGGTTTGATAATGACTATACAAAGTTTATTTTCAATGTAAAAATCTATTAACAAAAGATAATATAGAAATCTTAAAACATTAAAGATATTATACTTTTAATTTATATGTTTTTAGATAATAAAACTGAGCCATGGACAGATACTATAGTTTTCTCATATATCATAGAGTTATAAAACTATGTGCCCAGGACTCCTAATACTACTGCCAAAAACTTCTAAGATCACAATAATGAAAAAATGTCTTTATTAAAAACTCTCTTGTTACTAACTTGATTCTTTAAAAATGTTTAAATTATTGTTTTTTTTCATACTTTAATAAAGTTTGTTCAATAAAATAAGACCACAGGCAATAAGAGAAGACCTGCAGAAGAACAGTAGAATACCCAATATCAGTGGAGAAGTAGCCTGAGGATAGTACCATCGAGCCTCTACAGCAGTAATTTATTGAACTCTGGTTTTGTTTGTTTGTTTGGTTGGTTGGTTTGTTTTGTTTTGTTTTTTATGTTTTCTTGCAATTCCCTTCAAGCTTCAAGTAAAGCTGACCTGCAGCTTGCACAGAGTATTAGACCATCTATCCCTATGAATACTGGGTGAGTTCTTTGTTTGAAGCTTTGTTGACTACAGAGAAACTAGCAAATATCTCTAGGCTTTCCAGTGTTACTTTATTATAAACATAAGTTATAAATTTTACTTTTTTAGTGCATAGAAATGGCATAATAAATTTAAAAAGATAAAAGAGGAGAATGTAAACTGGTACAACAAAATATCATAACTGGTTTTTAATTTTTTTTAATTCAGTGGGAGGTTATGAATACAGTAGAATCGTTTCAGCAAACTTCAAACTATTGGTTTGCTCCAACATATATTATTACTTTATTTAAGAAGTGATCAAGCATAATCATTGCTAGTGCATTTGCATCTTATCTATGGATTCAAGCTGTAGTTTCAAGGGGGCCAAATACAATACATTCTTAAATTGCAGGTATAATGATTTGAAGATATTAGAAAAAATTAAATACTTCACCAAATGTGAATCATTGTCTATGAGGTATTATTTTGTACAACTAAGAACTCCCAGTCTTGACTAAAGGCCAAGTTTAACTGAGCAGCAGGAATTCAACTGTGTCAAGGCAGCTTGTGTTTCAGGATTTAGTTACTACCCACCATTATGTCAAATATGGAGTAGAAATACTCAGCTATTCTTCTGTATAGCCTAGGAGCATCTGGCTTGACTGCACCATGTTCAGAGAGAGTGTTATCAAGTATGAAATACTGTACAAATCTAAGGTGTTGGATAAGCCCTAGCATTTGTTTAAAACTAGTTGATATAGATTTATTCCCCCAATTTTTGTTCTAAGGTGTTTAATACATCCTTAAGAAATTTTTCATTGAATTTGCATTCTAAAATCCCTCTGAGAAAGTAGTGATGCAATTATGTCTTTTGTCAATAAATGTATTTAAGATGAGGACCACTTCTGTGATAATTGGGTCATTAAATACAGTAATGTTTTACTTCCATTGCTAATGGGGTACAATGAATCATTCTCCCATGTTGGGTGACGTAGAATAAAAAAAAATAGAGAAGGCTCCATCTCAAATGTAACTGTTTCAAAACTGAGTTTTTCATTTTGTGTTCAATCGGTGAGCTTAAGAACTTAAAGACATTGCCTTTGGTTCCTGGTATACCTGCAGGTAAAAATAGTTCAAGAAAGAAACAAGAATCCATAGTCATAAAACTTTCTTTGAGTGAAGCAGAGACTTCTCTTTCTAAAATCAGTGTAGTCATAGATAGAGAACATAATCTCAAAAATGTTTAG